AAAAAACCAAAAAAAAAAAAAAAAAAGCATAAAGTCAAACTTCAAGGTAAAGCAAGGCTATACAGCCTCCTACACACCTGTAAGAATGATTAAAATGAAAAAGGCCAGGCCAGGGATTTAGTTCAGTGGTGCTGACACCTGCCTCGAAAGTGCAAGAATCCAAATTCAATTCCTAGTACCAAAACAAACAAAACACTGATAATCCCAAGCACTGGCAAAAAGGTATAGTATCAATGGGAATTACCAACCTGCCGGAAGAGTGTAAGTTGTTGTTGTTGTTATTATTATTATTGTACTGGGCATTAAACACAGTGACTTTGCACTGAGTTACATCCCAATCCCTGACTTACGATTTACTCATCTATCTATGTATCTATCTATGTATCTATGGTTTTTTTGAGACAGGGTCTTGTTTTGTATTTCAGACTGGCCTTGAATTCACTATTTAGCCCAGGACAGCCTTGAACTCACGGTGAGGGAAGAGTTGCTCCCTCCCACTACTGACATAGGATTCAAGGACAAGCAGATAACAAGCAGTTGGAACCACTTACCTTTTCCTTTCCAAGGCTGAACACTCTTCGTCACACTCTAGCCTTGATGAGCAAATAAAAAAAATTGTCAGGGCATACAGGTCATAGTACGGCTTTTGCCCAGCAAGACAGCCTTAGGTGGATAATCTGACTCCTGCCAAAGGGCTTCTCTCCAGGGCAGGAAGCAGCTCATGAGGCCACCTACTTCCGGGTTTCACTAGCACCACTGTCCTGGGAATCTCATTTTACGGAGCTTCATGTTCCCTAGGTACACTCTGACAGCCCCAACTCCCACTCCAGGTACAGCTACCACTATGGCTCTCTGTTCTTCTGTGGGCTGGACTACTTCCATCTAGGATACCCCTTTCTCTATCAACTGTCTCAATTAAGACTTGGAAAATCCCTTCTACTCTTAGTTCCATCCCAGTACTCACTGGGGTTGGGGTGGGTGTGGTCTCAATGTTGAAGACTGCTGAATATCTACTCTGTCAGGCTCACTGTGGGGGAGTGAGGCAAATGAACGAACCCTGCCTTCTGGAAACTAGAAAAACAAGGTATCAATACACAGTTTCAAAGTCACCTGGCTTGTTGAACTTCTTTTTTAGTAATTAACTTGCTGATCTCCACTGAATCACCAAGCTGCATGTCTGTTATTTTAGAGGCCATAGAAATAGCAGCTATCCTGAAATATAAAAAAGAGGAGAAAAGCTGGGCGTGGTGGTGCATGCCTGTAATCCCAGCACTCGGAATGCTGAGGCACAGGAGGATCACTGTGAGTTCGAGACCAGCCTGGGCTACATAGTGAGTTCCAGGTCAGTCTCTACTACATAGTGAGACCCTGTCTCAAAAAAAAAAAAAAAAAAAAAAGAGAGAGAAGCGCTGCAGTTTCACAAGAACCTATCCATGTCAGGGATACAGAAGAACTCTGGAAGAGTTCACCACAAGAGTTATCCTCTGGAAGAATCCACCACAAGTCTTGTGGTCTTGGAAGCCTGTCACGTTTATCATACAAGTCCTTAATTAGATTCTAAGCAGCTACCCAGGAAGTCATGCGGTAACCCAACTTCTCATTACTCCCCTCAGCATGTGGACCAGTGCTCAGCACTCAGGAGGTATTCAAACATAGCCAGCCTGATGTCTGCATGTCTGTGGTACACCTCTACACCTAATCAGAGATACACACAACCAGTCATTCCCTCATACCTCCACCGCTGAGAAACCCCACTCTGGAGAGGGGACACAGGACCTAGCCTTGGGGGTGCCACTATCAGTGATAGGACATCAAAGCAACTCATTTCACATCTGTGTATCTTTCCTTCTTATTTCATTGTATAATAAAAGCAAAAGGGGAGAAGGAAGAAAAATGAAAACGTTCCTTTACAAATTAGAAGTTAGGGAAGAGAAGACATGTAAGACAACATGTTTTCTTTGAATCAGAGAAGGTAGATTTAAAAAAACCTTCCAACCTTCAGAAAAGATGCAAGGATTCTCCAATAAACACGAGTCCCCTTCACCGAGACCAACAATCATTAGCATTTCTGCAGTACTAACCTCTGATAAGTACTGGATGCTTCAGAGCAAATCACCATTTCTTTTCTTCGTCCACATTCACACTGTAGCTCTACCTGAGGTAAGATGAACACATAACCACTCTTGAGCAAATAAGAAGCACATGAGTGAGCCGGTTTCACTTTTAAAGCCTCTCTCTACTAGACGTGGTGGCTCATGCCTGTAATCCCAGTACTTGGGAGGCTGAGGCAGGCAGACTGCCAGCCTGGGCTAGTTAGTGAATTTGAGGCTAGCCTGAACTATGCAACAAGACCTTGTCTCAAACAAAATAAAACAAAGCCTCTGTCAAATCAAACCAGGGCGGGACAGAGAACACAGTCAGTGAAGGCCACTCTTAAGAGATGAAAAGAAGCTAACCACACATGCAAATTCATAACACAGTACTTGACATGGTACTAGGAGAGACACGTACAGTTCAAAATGCCCCTTTCTAGAAACTACTACTGTCTTGTTGTTAATCTGGGCTGAAAGGGCAGCCTAGAATGAAGTTTATACCAGTGAATCAGAAGTGGACACATGCCCAGTCAACTGAGGCCTAGTCAATCTCACTTATCTCTTCACTTTGACCTCCTCAAAGTGGCCCTGCGTGATTCCCCAGACCATTTCCATGCTCTCACAGCACCCTCTACAAGGACGGAACTACTCTTCTATGATACCACAGTCATAATTATCATGTGAGTAATCATTTAGTGAATATCTCTTCTGAAAAATTATAAGAGATTGTTTCTCTTGTTCACTAGTCAGGTTGCAAAAGGCTTATGACTTACACTACCTTTCTCTGGCTAACTTAACTTGCAATTTCTCTCAACTAATGACCTCTGATTAGGATACTTGCCCAGGCTCTGCTGCTGTCAGTCCTGGATTCACTAGCAGGCACAGTGATCGATGCTCTATCAGGAGTCTAGAATACCCACCTTGGCTTTACAAGCAGTCACTGGGCAGGATGAGCCGGGGTGGCAGGGTGCCATACATGGGTGGCCACAGTCAGCTCTGGGGGTGCTGCAGGGCTGCTTGCAGGCCTCATCCACAAGGCATTCTCCTTTGTGACATAGTCTCTGACACTTGTGCATCCCGCATGGTAGGGTGGCACTGCAGGGTAATCCGCAAGAGATATCAACCAGGTGACAGGGGATGTTGCTTCGTAACTAGGAGAGAGAGAAGTAGCCAAATTCTCATCTCTGTGTGCGATCTAGGGTGAGTTTTCATTTTCCCTTAGAACATTTAAAAACTTAAAACTTTTAGAAAATGTTTAAAGTTATTTTTATCTGAAAACAATTATTTTGATTTTTAAAACCCACAAGGTTCATTTCAAAAGAAAACATATCTGAATCTTATTTAATAGTAATATTTGTCATGCTCCAAAAAGATTTGTAGCAGCCCAGTGTGACCTGGGAAAAGCTTTTCAAGATGGCCACAAGCAAAGGACATTAAGAAACTAAGAGTACTTAAAAAATGCTATCATCATCTGGGAAGACAGGTGATCTCCTCCCTCCTTTCCAGGCGCTAAGGCACTGACTTGACAGACAACCTTACATGGGCTAGCATAGAGGCCCTATTCGTCCAGAGTTCTGAGACTCCTAGCATGGCTGTTTTAGGTGTTTAAATCCTCAACTCTCCTCACATCTCCCAACTGATGGTCTCATAGCTTCAGGTAGCCCTGCCCATTTAAAAAACTAAGAGGCAACAGGAACTCCAACTCATTTTTTCCAAGAAAATCCTATGCTTCCAGGTTTCTCCACTGCAGTAAAAAACTACTGGAATTTTATTCCAGTGAGACAAAAGCCTACTTTTATAAACTGTATTCATTCAAATTCTTTTAAGAAGCCTCAAAGTGAGGATTATTCTTCTACTCCGGTGACATATATTCTTGAAGAGGCCTCCAAAGCCTAGGACATAGATGCTTCCAATTGCTTTGGAGTCCGTATTTGATAGGACGGAACTCCCAATCATTACACACAACCCATACAGTACCAGGGTCCCAGGGATAACTTCTGTTTACGCTCTGCCCTCCGCTGTCTGCTCCTCACATTACCTACCCATCTTCTCACTGTTCTTTAGGGTGTTATTTCCTTCAAGATGCCTTCCTTTGGTACAAACCCTTCCTATCCCCCTCAGTACCTGGTACTCCCACATTACTATTTATATGTCCACCTCCCACCACCAAGTGAAGGCTCCAAATGGGCAGGGGTTTTACCAGTTCTGTTAACTTCTGAACCACCCCAAACCTAGCCTGTTACCAGCATATGGTAAGTACTCACTTAAGATTTGTTGAATAAAGTTTAAGTCAACAACAAAAGATGAAACATGAATGTTTTAGAATGGATAAACTCACAGAGATGAGATTTTTAGAGGAGAAATTAATATGAAGGACTATGACTTGAGAACCACTCACAGGAAATAAGTGGAGAAAAATGTGTCCATCAAGATAAGAATCCTGAAAGCATGTTGTTACAGATGTCAAGAGAATTTCCAGAAATGTTGGTCAACATGTTATGAAGTAAAAAGAACAGGTTACAAAACAGTATAATCTTAACTAGAGTAGGGGAAGTATGTATCAACACATGCCTGACAGATAATACACTAGAATGTTAGATCATCTTTCTTGGGCTCGGTGAAGCACTTGCCTGGCATGCACAAGGATCTGGGTTCAATTCTCAGCACCCTCCCACCACCAATTAAAAAAAAAAAAAAAAAAAAAA